GGTGTAACGTTCGGGCGGAGGAGGAGCTGAAGCTGGGAGGGGGGGGGGGCTGCCTGGCAGCGGAAAAGCGCTCCAGCAGCTGCTGCAGCACCAAGCAATAGATTCACTTCTTTATAAGTTCAATCGCACCAAGCTGCCGCCGCACACTTCCACATTTTCGCCAAAAAACAATTACAGTATTTCATTTTCAATCAACACATTAAATATCACGGAGGGGGAACTCGAGCCAAGAGACGCGGCATTTACATATTATAAGAAACAGAAGGGCAACCGGACAAGGCGAACGGGGTTGAGCCTCCAACTTCGATTCCTTGTTACTCGCTCCTTCTTCCTTTTGCAACAGTGGCGCACATACATTGAACAGGGTTGGTTAAATGCGGGAGGCTGTAGAGGGAGAGGTTGGGTTATTGACAGGAAGTACCTTGTTGGAGATGGAAATTGGGAGCAGGTGGGGTTTTTGAGGGAGAAGGGAAGGTCTCTAGTCCTCTGTCTTCCCATCCCATAGCCTCTGTGACTTGTTGACCGGAGCTATACAGTATCGGAGGACTTGGCAGAGCTGCACTGGACGGGAAGGAGCATCCCAGTACTATCGCACTAACAGGGATACTCACACTGATAGCTCAGAGGTTTTCGATATTCTTGGCATCCCGAAAACGAATCTTTATTGCCAGAAAGTGCAAATTTTTCACATAAATTGATGTCATGAATCGAATCAACAGTATGACCCCTGACATCGTGAACAGAGCCCTCTTGTTCGCTAACAGAGCCCTTTTTTCTTGGGAAATACTTCTGCAATGTGTATTTGCCCCTCTGTAAGTAGCAGACGCAGTTTCTTTAGGGCAGCTTTTTTTATGCGTTTTTTGCAGCTATGCAATGCAAAAAACGCATATTGACGAGAGGTTGTCTGTGTGTTCATCTGTACCGATTTTTCATCTCGAGACCCACAAAAACTACAGGAACTTAATCTACATGCATGTACGAGCCCCCATCCACAAAATGAGCGCTCTCACCCGCGTGGTAACCACATACGGGCAGCCAAAGTTTTGTACGGGCATGTTGCTGTCTTGGAAACCAGAGAAGCTGGAAAGCTGAAATTTTGAGGGGATGTTCCCTAGTCAGGTATGTGTTAGTGAGCTCAAATCCGGCCGCCGGGTAAGCGTGGTACCCACGTACAGATCCGTAAATTTTTTTTCCGGATAAGTTGCTAACTCGGGAGTCCAAGAGGCTGGAAGACAGGAATCTTAAGGGGATGTTCCCTGTCCAGGTACGTATTAATGAGTTCAAACCCAGCCTCCGGGTAAGTGTGGTACCCACGTACGGGACCGTGAAGTTTTTTTTTTGGGGTAAGTTGTTAACTCGGAAACCTGAGGAGCTAGATGACTGGGATTTTGAAAGGGTGTTTCCTGACAGCCTTGACGGCTAGTTAGAAGCATCTGCCAGAAAAACCAGTGCCATTAGCGACAAAAATCCGCTGGAAGCTGTGCAAAAAACGTATCCTCGCATGGGCAGTCTGTGCGTTGGCCAATTATTAACGATTTTTTGAGAGTTTCTAAGAAATCTGATGGCGGAATAGATTGTCGACGGACAGTACTTGATATTGAAAATTGGAGGAATAGGAAGTTTTTTTTTTCAGGGAACGGCACGCAGGAAGAAAAAGGTGGTCCACAAGACAGCGGCTACGGATGACAAAAAATTGCAAAGCAATCTCAAAAAGCTCTCGGTAACAAACATTCCAGGCATTGAGGAGGTATGATTTTTTTTGTGTGTGATAAAGAATGTGTCATTTTTTGGATAGCCGATGAATTTAGTACAAGTCACTGCGGCTCACCATAAGATTTTTTGCATGGAAAGATGAGACTTATTGCATATGATGAGTACGAGATTATCAAACATAATGAATTGGGAATTAGCACTGCTGTTTCGCTAAAAGTTGGGAGACAGATTATGCTTGTGGTCTCTCTTTCTGCGATTTTTTCTTTAGTTTCGATGGTAAATTGGTACTGGCATGTGCCTCAGAGAGACAAATCCGCCATCAGGCTGATCCTGAAAGGGAATGCCATCGGTAGCTTTGCCAGTAATTTGTTGCTGTTGTGACATCTGCTACCACTCGAGCTACTTCCGAATGCCTTCGATTCGCATGTAGAGGTTTCACTTGACGGGGTTTTGGATAAAAATGGCCAGAGAGCTAAGAGTTGGGGATGGGAAAGCGTCTTTTCAACACAGTGTTTCTTACTGATGATTCTGTGCGATCTTGGTGACACTGGGCATTGGATTGGTTTTTTTTTTTTTTTCAGGTGAACATGATTAAGGATGATGGCACAGTTATACACTTCAATAACCCGAAAGTTCAAGCTTCTGTGCCAGCAAATACATTCTCGGTAACAGGAAGTGCTGAGAATAAGCGTAAGTTTTCCTCACCAAATCGGGATTTTTTTATGACCAATTATAGTTATATGATGTGGCGTTATAGCTGTTACGTTATGCTCAAAAAGTAGAGGCGCTTGCTACAGATGCTTTCGAGAAAGTCCTAATTTTGCTACGGAGACGGGAAAAAGGCTAGTGCCTTTATTA